GCGCAAGCCTTCCAATGCTATTAGCGCCATTGGGTGTTGTGGATAGCCTCCGCCGCCGGGTTTTTTAAGTAGATACATTCCACCGGGCCGAAGCAAGAAGGAATCTGATGAAGTCATGGGTGTGTTTGGGTAAAAAAAAGGCCTTTTTGAATGGAATGTGGAAGTTTGTAGATTTGGGCGCCAATTTTGCAAATTCCATTTGTAGATGGATAGACAAAAATATTGGTTTGTTGGTTGAATATTGTTTTTCACTCTGCCCTATTATCACTGATGATTCCTACAGTATATACAGTATAGGGCTGGTCCATCTGGGAGAAAGATAATCATATTTATTTTTCTTCATATTAAGTTAATTGAACTTGTAGCACTACCTGCATTCATCAGCCTTATACAATCAGATAGCAGAAGCTAAGCAGGAAAATACCTGGTTTGTACTTTGATGGGAGACCTGTCAAGACACTTCTGGTGTGTGCATAAATAATGGGAGGTGGTCAAAGCGGCAGGTGACATGTACTATTTTCCATATTTCTGTCAATCTACCGCAGGGCAGCTATGGCTAAAGTTGTAGTTTACCAACATCGTGTCAGGAGTGAATGAATGGATACTTTAGATTGAGAGAAAGCGAAGAGAAAAAATAAAGAGAGAGAGGGACAAGAGAGACAAGAGAGAGATAACCGCTTTGTGACTCTGGTCTGTGAAAGGCGGTATATAAATAAAGATTACTTACTTACTTATTAGATAAGAGAAAGCGAGAAAAGAGAGAGAGAGAGAGAAGAGAGAGAAAGAAATAGATAATTTATTGATTCCCTGTGAGAGAAATTCAGGTGTTCAGCAGTTCTAAAAGTTACTAACAATAGTATTAAAGGCATATGTTTAGCTCAGACAGATCTGTTTTATGGTTTTATAGTCTTAAAGTGCAATTGTCTGAGCGACCAGAGAATCTGCTCTATAAAACTAATATTCATGTGAACCTATGTACACAGTCTCACTTCCTCAGACCTCAACCATCTTTCTAGTCTTTGAGTAAAACTGTGGGTAGAACTAGCTGCTGTCTCTCACTATGCCCCTTGTAACTGGAACATGATTTAAGCCATTTGCCCTCCAGTTTGTGTTTGAAATGTGCTATATAAACAACATGCCTTCTTGTTATTCTTCATTACTGATCGAGAGCAGGTCGCTAAGCAATGTGACCAAAAAAAAGCAAATATGAAAAGCTGGCATTCAAATCTTCTGTGAACTGTCATATTCATAATCCACCTCATTGTTAGTTCCAGGCGGCAGACAGCAGAATCTAAGTCTGCACATAAAAGATATGTCAGTGCATTTTGTAATGTTTTGTTATGTTCAGACACAATGCACTCATCAAATCAACAGATACAATAATTTGAGCTATGGGGAACCAGCTAAATTAAGCTCTTCACATTGTTTGTCATGTCGAGAGTGAATGCCATTGCTTTGGATGTCTTTGCAGATCAGTCAGAGAATTATACAACCAATCTATATTGTTTTTGTCTGGTACCGTCAGATGTAATGGGAATGGAAAGTAGAGGTGATAATTAGAACCATTTAAAGCTTTAAGAACATTGTACCGAAATATTCAGCCTGTATCATTGTCGGGAGCCTGGTTTAGTAAAAAAAAAATGCAATTATTCATATTATTTTGGGACTTGTGAGCGTCTATCTGCTACTTTTGTTTACTAAAGCATAGCTGATGTTTTGATTAGGGCTGTCAAACGATTAATTTTTTTAATCGAGTTAATTAAAGCTTAAAAATTAATTAATCATAATTAATCGCATTTTTGTTGTATTGGAAAAATTAGGCCATATTTTTCTGTAAATTGTTGTTTGAATGGAAAGATAAATGACAGCTTAGTGAACATATGTACTGTATTTGTTTGTTATAACAACAAATCCATATAAAATGGAATTAACATTATTAACATTCTGTCTTTCTGTTTAGACTCAGACCAAAACCATTGTTTGTTACAGATGAGGGACATTTCAAAATAGTCTGAAGCAGAATGTCATTAAATCTGTTTGATTTGCTCACACCATTACTTTTTTTGGCACAACTAACATGAACTGATGGTCGAAAGGAAAATTAGGTACCTCAGCTTTAATTTAGCGAGTGCGCTTCGGGAGAAGACACGGAGGAGACTGAGGCTACGCAGTCCAGCTTCTGCGCTGTACATATTGTGTGCATCGGTTACGCAAAGACACGTACGCACACTAGAGAATAGTTCTGTAATAGTTCTGTGCGTGGTCTTGGATATGATCCCGTTACGCAGCGCCGTTCCCTGTGATCACAGCCACTGGAGGAACTGCTGTCCAGAGCGCTGTCGGCGCCCGCAGCTCATCATGCAGGGTTCATACAGGAAACTACAAGTACCCCGCGGTCACGCGTGTATTCTTTCAAAACTTGAATTCCCAGAGGGCCTACCTGCTCTGTCCCCATCTTACACACGCGCATGTGTCCGCGGCATTCTGAGTGTTATTATGGGACGCGTGGGCATGCGTCAAATGCGTTAATTTTTTTAACGCGATTAATGAAATAAATTAATTAACGTGCGTTAACGCGATAATTTTGACAGCCCTAGTTTTGATATATTTTGCAAACTTGTACTGACCCAGTGGCCGTAAGAGTGGTCAGCATGCGTTTACTTTCCATTCATTTATATAGAATCAATACTTTGGAAGGTTTTCTCTGCTGCTGGACCCTCTCTCTCTGATGGCAGACCTTCTCACCAGAAAATCTATAAAAGTGTTGATCCTGGAGCACTGTAGACGCTATGTGATCAAAGGTCAAGGATCAAATACACACAAAAATGACCGTTATCCACTTTTTTCACATCAAACGTTCCATAATGCAAATCTCTGACAGCTTGGAGTCTTTTGTGGTGGTTGCTGATGAGGTCTGATTGTTGAGCTGTCCGTTGTTCTTGCTAAAAAGTCTCAAGTTTGTGTAAATTCCTGGGCCGCCTCGCAAGAACTCCACACTTTTGAGATCTACCCAGAGCAGCTCAATGGAGTTTTAAAATAGAAACATTTCTGATATTGTATGACTTTCGCAACGACTAACGACTTACATTTGAATTCATAATATCAAAATATGATCGAAACATTAACATCTCTGGCTGCGTTTGTAAACTTTTGTTTGCAACTGTGATTTAGCTACGGATCAAGTTAGTTTCAATGCATTTCATTACAACCACGTCACCTCATTCTCCTAATCTCCCCATACACCCATCAAGAGCACATACTATAATCTTTAAAACAAATATATAGTTCTTGAAAGTCCCTATGAAAACTCAACACCTCTCACTTTGAAGCGGCTTAAGCAGGATGCAGCGCCGGTAAATAAGTACGTGTGTGTCCCGAGGGGGAGACGAGAGGAATTTGGCTTCAGAATAGGTAACAGTGGAATGTAATTGAGCTGAAAATTGAAACGCGGAGCCGTGGAAAAGCCGGCCCGGCGTGAGCTGTGTCTGCGTGTGTGCCTGTTGGCGTGCACACGGTTTGTTTGCGTTTTTAGTTTTCCTTTTTTTTTTTCAGTGGGATGTGTTTAGTGCCAGTGTAATCCTCGCTGAGCTGGACCCCCGGAGGAGAAGAACGAGAGAACCACACAAACTGCGCACGGCGACTAAAAAGATGGAGCGGACAAAAACATCAGTCTGTGTGGATAATGTTTGGGAAATTGTTTGGAAGCTGGTTATAGATTAATTAGGCTGTTGTTGTGCCCATGAGCAAGCCAGTCAGTGAGAGAGTGCTTTCTCTGTGCAACACCGTCACTGCTCTATGGTCCCTGTAGGCAAATGTGTTCTTGGATTTGACCCATCCTTCCAATGCCGCTCTAAATGTTCTTGATTTTTTATTTTCCTTCCACCTTGTCTAACATGTATTATTCCTCTTCCAAGCTCATAAACACTTGACGGTATTATAATGAGGGTAATTTGAGCATAATAATCTATACATTTGCGTAGAGATTCAAATGCAGGTGCAAAACATTTATAGACTTGAATGCATAACGCACAGAGTTTACAGGCAAAAAGATTCTGGAAACACAAGTTGGATTGTACATCAACATTTGAAAAGGACATTATTTGATCACTAGGAGAGCATGATATATAAAGTCAATTTAAAGTATACTTTTACATCATTATCATTGTGTATTTCCCACCCACATGTTAATTATCATTGTTCAGATTGGATACATATTGTACATTGTGATTCTCTGTGCAAATATTCCCTTTCAAATTAGAGAAGCTCTTCCAGTGTCTTCACCTATAGACGAACACAAATTCTAATATATGTCATTATTATTCATCTATTTTTACTTTTCATTGAGTTTATAAAGCAAGTTTTGTCGTCATGGTAAATCTAAAAAAGCAAAACTACTAGCATGTTAACAACACACTTCCTACTGACCATGTTTTAGGTTATTCTCATATGATAAGAATGAAATATATAAGGAAGAAAATGCTAAGGGGTGTTTTATAGTCATCCATTTTTCATGAGTTAAAGTAGCAATATGTAAGATTTTCATAATATGTCAAAAGGCATTAATAAACCATGCCTTTTTTTAATACTTCTTTAACTAATAACAGTACGAAGGCCGAGATCCCACTTTTGGGCAGATTTTCGCATATTGCTCCTTTAACTACTGCACCAGAAGCACAGTACAAACTCCAGGCCTGTTTCTTTGGAATTTGACTCTCATGTTTCAAATATAGTTATAATTCTCTTAAACGCAAAGAAATATCACTCACGAATATTAAGTCCACTCATGAGCTGCAAAGAGACCTTGGTTACGTCCTTGCTTTGTAAAGTTCCATTCAAATGTCAAGGCGGAGAAAAATGCGTTAACTGGAAAACAGCCGATTAAAAAGCGAAAGCGGATTGTCAATATTCCGCGCATCCTCAGAGCTCCTTGATGACGCTGTTTTGAACTCTCCTTGACTAAATTAAGGATGGTATAATCAGACCGCAGCCTGCTGTCAATAATGAACCTGGAGCTGAAAAGTGCTGCTGTAAACAAGGACACGCAGCGGGACAGAGGTGAAGCCCCCTGCTGGTGTGGGGGAGCAGGGTGCAGGCAGGATATTGATTACACTACAGATAGGTCATGCATGTTAAATGTAAAGAATATTTGAGTTTATACAGGAGCCTGCTGCAGTTTCTATGTAAATATGACTTGGCATGAAGTTAATTCTATTTTCTTCATCAAAGGTGTTGCACATTTGCACACATTGTACAGACTTTACATATTATGCAAATAGTTACTAGCCAATACCGTACGGCTCTACTTGAGTGATGCCCCATTGGAAAGATAGTTGCATGGTGGAAAGGAAGAGGAGTCCAAATACAATGCTGCAAAAATAGTATAATTTGATAAACAAAAATACAAAAACAAGACTCAACTGAATTAAATACGCAGAGACGGAGGACCACGGATCGACACTTAATGGACTGACAACAAGAGGGAAAGGTAAAAACATCACGAAACATTATATTGTCTAATGTCTGGTATAGAAGAACCCAATACTTTTAAGAGTGAAAAAGCACAGGGAAGTAAAACTCAACAAGACACAGGAGGACACATAAAACAGGAATGAAAATAATGACAACCATGACAAAGATAATTTTGACAATCTAGGTAATGATTTTATACTTGTATTTGTACCTTGTATGTTTTATAATGTTGAACTTTTGCTTAAAGCTTGTAAAAAAAAAAAAAAAAAAATCACAGTAAGATGGACTGTAAGATATGATAATCATAATTATATTATATTATATTACTAATTATATATCAGACAAGTCCAAACTAATGTCTTTGGGTCAAATGCGGCCACTTTGTTTTTGTATGTGGCCCTCTCCCTTGCTAACACAAAGCAAGGGAGAGATCATGAGTTCACTGTGTCATCCAGCCATCTTCAGCTCCACTAATATAGACATAATATACATCTTTGTAAAGCTCAGAACTTCTAGAATCGAATTGTTAAGTTTATTAGCATATTTCTTACTGTGTTTTCGATTGTGAGGCAACATTTGATATATGGGACGCTAATATAGATAGATGTGGAGTCAAATAGATTTGCAACCTGTTGACGGCCGCTGAACATGTCTGATGAACTAAACTGGCTCCTGTACTTAACATTTTTGACACTTCTAGTCTACATCATGTATTGGTTTCGCATTTTTCAGTTACAGAACCGATTTAACTTTTGAACAATATTCTACTTTTGCAAGTTTCACCGGTACATCTCCCTGCCAATCCATCTGAAATAATGACATAATAAAAACGCAATGTATGCATAAACCAAGACATTTAGTGCAGACATATTTCTCATTCCTCCCTTTCTGCCTCACTCACTTCCCAGTCCCTCCAGCCTGTGTGGTCCTGTGCGGAGAGGGTTCTGATAAGCGCAACACCGGGCCACTGACAGCTTCATCCATCAGCGACGTGACGGACAGGCCCTCGCACTGGGGTCACGCTGCGTGCCCCCATGTGCCAGCCTGTGTGGCCACGGGAATGTGCCGCCTGAACGAAATCAATCTGGATTCTGGGCCAGATTTCTAGCATTTCTTTTATCAATAAATCAGCCCGGTGTCCATCTTCTGTTTCATGTCTGTCACTTTCTCACCTCTTCTGACATGACTTTCGCACTGGCTGAATGCTAAGTGTTGTGGTATAGAGCCAGCTAATTCTGCAAGAAAGTTACTGATGGCTGCTCACTATGCATTCTGTAGTTTGCAATGAACCAATCAAGTGGTGGCACGATGGTGCAGTGGTTAGCGTTTATGCCTCACAGCCGGAAGGTCCTGCGTTCAATTCCACCTCCAAACCTTTGTTTGCATGTTCTCCTGGTGTATTCGTAGGTGTCCTCCATTTTTCCTTTACCACTAAAAATAAGTACAATAGGTCTAGCATGGGCCTTGTCTACGACGACCCCACTCCCATCTTTGAGTGACCTTGGCTGGTTTATTTTAATATAGAAAAAACAAAATATATATAAAAAATATATTAACAGAAAATTAACGCAAGCATAAAAACATGTAGCTTCATATACACTGGGCAAAAACAGATGCCTTTTGTGTCAGTGTGAATCTGTTGTAAGCCAATAGCATACATGTGGGTCAGGCAAGATATATACTACAAGTCACAGGAGACATAATACTTTGAAGAATGCAGAAAGCTGTGTAAAAAAAGAAGATCTCACAGTTAAAGTTTGGGCTTCTGTGTGCACTGCTTTTCCTTTATAAAGTTGTCCTTGTAAAAAAAAATCACTTGGCTGCATGTGCATGATATACTTCCTGTAGGTTGTTATAATAATACACTGCAAAAAGTGAAAGGAAAAAATGTATTTAAATTTGAGCACATTTTGACTGCCAACGGGACAAGCAAAAAAATCTTGTTTTAGAAAAATAGAAAAAATATCCCCCTTGAAATGAGAAAATAAAGCAACCATTCTTGAAATAAGACATAATAAGAATCTTGTTTTAAGAAAGTCAGTATGAACTCACATCAACATACAAAACCACTCGATTCAAGCAATTTTTACCTTATATTTTGTCATTTTTTGAGGGTTCTGGGTGCACTGCGCTGTGACTGTAGAAGCCTAATATTTTGATCATTTCTGTCTAAAAACCCAAAATACTTTCCAAGGAGAGAGCAAGAAGCGGTCTCTTGGCAACAGAAACTCCCAATGGACAGTGATGACCTGGAGTTAGGGCTGAGATGACCTCTGAGTGTCCGACTGCATGTTTGTCATTCACATGGCACTTTGTTATGGGAACAGGACACGGATAAAACCACAATCACCAGAGGATAATGTCATCGAAAGCCCACACAGAAGAAATAAATAGAGAGTTTTGCAAAATTATGATTGTAATAGAAGGAAAATTAATCCCAACATTTAATATCATTCCTACAATATAAATGGTTTTTCAATTTCCTTTCCACATTCTACAAAATAATGCACGTAGGAAGAAACACTATATTTGGGAGTATGGCAGTTGCTATAACAGCATGTGGATTTTGTGTCCCAGTGAGGCATGCATACATCGTACTGCTATTTCAGGGGTGCCCAAACCTTTTTACGGCAAAGCATATTTATTTGCATAGCTCAGTTCATACACAAGACAACTCAAGCTGCTGAGCAAAACAAGGTAGAAACAACAAGGCATTAAAATAAAACATATATTATTCACTGTACATTAAATCAAACAAAAAAAATCCCTCAGTTGTACACATAGATGAACAAAACTGATTTTAACCTGGATTTGAATATTGTCAGAGAGGAGGCCTCTGACTCTGGGCAGCAGCAGGTGGCCAGTCCCTGTGCTCCTCAAGAGTCCGAGTTGGTTCATGACATTAACATGTTTCGGATGTATTTTAAAGTCTATTCTCTGAGCCACAGGAAACCAGTGCAGAGACCTGAGAACTGGACTGATGTACTTCCTGGTTCTTGTCAGGACTTGAGCTGCAGCACAAGTGCCCCACAACCAAGATTTGACAGCTGGATGACTGAACTCAGATTGTTTTGAAATGATCATGGAATCACTCATGGAACTTAGCTGAAGTTGGCTGAATGACAAAATTGTCTTCTTTCTCACCAGCTACATCGGTTACATATCTTGTGTCAGGATCAAATCCATGATCAGAAATCTCAGTTTTGTCAAAGTCAACAAACATGTTCAAGAGGGACTGAGCTTGACAACGAGATATAGTCTATATTGACAAAGCTGAAATTGGCTGGATGACACTGTGAACTTCTGATCTCCACGGCTGCTTTGAGTTAGCATGGAAGAAGACCACTTACAGTATCATGGTGTTACGGGCTGGAACATTGGACACGCCTTCTCTACTTGGAATAAAAACAATACTCCAAATGTTTTATAGTGAATCAAATCAACAGTTTCAGCAGGTCATGAACTCCAGATTTTAATCCGATAAAATAAGAAGACCTTTATTCTTCCAGTGGGGAAATTTCAGCCTTTTCACACTCCAGTTCACAACCCAGCGACACACAGAAGCTCTTGGGCCAAAGTGAATGGCGCTTTATCTGCAGATGGTGCAATAAAAGTATAAAAAGAAACCCTCAAAAAAAAAAAAAAACGCTTGCAAGATTTAAACTTCCGTTGGGGACTATTTTCTTTCATTAAAACTCCCTCACCGACCCCGGCAGATAATACCAGCATTGTCCAACATCATGTGTGATTCACTGTGTTGACGTTTTTATGACATTTGACATTTAATCTCTGAGTTTCTTCTCCCTCTTTGACGGTTTCTTACTATTTTCCTCCCGCCCCCCCCTCTAATCTCGGCTACATTCTTGGTGATCCGGCTTTCTTTGTCCCCAATGACATCACAAGCTCGGGCCGTGACAGAAGCAATGGGAAGAATGCGGAGAGCGGGAACACTGCAAAATGAAGGAGCTTGTGATGAAGACGGACGGGTAGAAGAGCAACGGGACGAGGAGAAGGAGGAGGAGGAGGGGGGAAGTTGAAAGAAAAAGCTAAATGGAAAGAATGTGTCTGATTGAGCGGTATGAATGGGGTGTAGGGGTCCCCTCCTGTCTGGTTTGTGTACCCTTTGCATTAATCTTTTAGAAGAAGCCGCCGCGCAGCTAGGTTTACGGCCGCGCTTCCCTTGCGCACCGGGAGACACGCTAAAACTCAAGGGAGAAGATCAGATTGTCAAGCATACAGTCCAGAAGCTTTTGTGTGGTTTTACAATAAGAAGCGGGAAAGCTGTTTGAAGTATTTAAAGTTGGGAACTCAAACCTGTGGTTCTGCAGATACCAGTAGCTCGTCCAATCCATTCCAGGTAGCTCCCCAAAGGATTCAAGAATTTATCACATGATCCTGAATGACTTACTGTACATTTGATTCATTACATGTCTGTTTTAACAATACATGTTTTCATTCATGTGTTCTGATTTGCTGTAGTTATTATAAAGTACATTTGCAAAGGAGGAGTTTTCAACCATTTCAGTTTTATAAAAGTGACTCTCTTGTTGACGTTGGATTGAAAAAAAAAAACCTTGGAGTTTAAAGAACCAGTTTAAAGCTTGAGTACCTAACTTTTAATTCATACTAATGGTAAACTATGTATTGAAAATCCATGTCACTTGTTCTGGGCTCTAAAACAGCTCCAACAAGTTTTGGGCTATCACTTGTTTGACATTTTTTGGCCTCTATCAAATCTTTAGATCAGTTTTTAAGACAGAAAACAAGGGGACCACCCTCAATCAGCCAATCAGCTCTCAACCCAAAGACTAACAGGACTTATCTTATGTACGCCAAAAATAAGAAGCATGTTGTGGTTTAATTTGTTCACAACCTTTGACTCTTAAAAGACTCTTTTCGTAGAATGACAATATGAGGTACCCCAGATGTAATTTACAGAAGACATATTCTTTGTAATTAACAGATAATTAGCGATGTGTGTGTCACCACATGTATGAGTGACTAAGATGGTCTGGCCACAATCTTGCTATATTATTTCTTACATTTAATCAGGGTCAGAAATATATATTCATACCAATATATATGTGGCTTTTGTTTTGGAAAAGTGAGTTTGTATATCCATCTATAAATAGTTGAAGTCATTTAAAAACAAATCCTCGATCCAGACGGTTAGCCATTTATCATTAATCCAATGTTGTATAGGTTTGCCCATGACCTTTTGATCTTACTCACTGAATAAAAAAAAAAAAACACTGATGAACACATATTTATTACGTCATGAACGTAATAAATTTAAACCTGAAAAATAAGCTACGACAGACATCACTTGGGCACTAGAACAAGGACACAATTTGAAGTGGCCTCATTCAGCAAAGGTCAATTAAACCGTGCCAAGCTATTATTTTTCTTTTAATTTATGTTCATTTTAATCAATCTCTGTCAAAGGTGAACGAGACACAAAGGAATTTCAATCATTCGGCTCACAATCCTCTTCACCCACTTGTTACGAGCAATTCCGTCTTTCCTACAAGGTCTCCCCAGAAGTCCTTTTTACTTTATGAAGATTAGAATTTCAACTTCCATATGACCTCCTATAAAACAAATATGTCCTCTACTGTGTTTCCCACTCAGTAACATGTCCCTGCTGAGCCCTTACTGCATCCGGAGTTTCGTAATGCGATTGCCGGACGGTCCATATTTTATTGCTTATAGCACTTTGACAACACTATTTTAATACACGTTGCGTCCTCCGCATAGAAACATTAGCATGAATCATGGGAATCTAATAAAGTCTATATGTACTGACGCCGGAGTTCAAGGTGCCACGCCAAGTCATATCTTGTTTAATAAAGTAGCTGGGACAAGTTTGTTAGAATGCACTTTACATTATTAAAAAAAAACGCTGTAACATGGAAGAAAGCAATGGGATTGGACGTGACAGTGCGGGAAGCAAGTGCACCCGTCACACTAAAAGCCACAAAATTGACTTATTCGAGAGGAAATTAGCCTAATGTTTCCAAATGTACTTTTAATTCAGTTTTTCTACCTCTAGCTTGTAGTCAGACACACATAATTTCACTTGAACTTTTGCACATTTTGTCATGTTAC